AAAGAAAGAAAGAAAGAAAGAAAGAAAGAAAGAAAGAAAGAAAGAAAGAAAGAAAGAAAGAAAGAGAAAGAGAAAGAAAGAAACATTGGTTGATTTTCTCCTGTACTCACCCTGACTGGGACTCAAACCCAGAGCCTAGGTATGTGCCCTGACTGGAAATTGAAACTGCAACCTTTTGGTGCATAGGATGATGCTCTAACCAACTGAGCCACCTGGCCTGGGCTTTCCCTGTATCTCTTTACATCATCTTCCCTCTAAGCCTGCCTCTCTCCAAATTTCCCTTCTTTATAAAGACACCAGTCATTGGATAAGGGCCCACCCTAATGACCTAATCTTAATTAATAATACCCACAATGATTCTATTTCCAAATAAGGTCACATTCTGAGGTTCTGGGTTCAGGACTTCAGTGAATGAATTTTGGGGATAGAGTTCAACTCATTACATCTTGCAAATCTGAAAAATATCCTTAACTAGAGGCATAAACTCAATTAAAGTTTCCCTATCGAATTCAAGATTTTAAGAAGAGAAGTTAGATTATATATGATCTCAGAAGTGGTTTTAAGAAGGCTGGGAAGAAGTTGAAATTGTATTGGTGGAGTCCTCTGCCATATTGGGAGATGAAGAATTCAGGTCAAAGTATGAACAAATTTTTTGTAATGAAAATAATGTTTTCACAGGTAAACTAGAGGGAATATGGCAGAATTGGTAAATAGTCTCTGATTCTGAATCTGGGTTCCAATTCTGGCTCCCTTACTTCTTTGTGAGTGACTTTGGACAAGTCACTTAAACTTTCTAAGCCTAAGTTTCATTATTTGCAAAATGCACCCTTGGAGTAGCTAGCCAAGATCTTTAAATTTCCATGTATAAATTAAAGACTAGTTATAATATGTCCCCCAAACTGCAGAGTTCACATGGCAAGCTTTCCAAGCGGTTCTGTTGAAGCCCCTCTTCCTAAGACTGAGGGAGAACACACACCCTCCCCACACCCAGTCTCATACTGTTGTTGGGAGAATTAAATGAGTTAGTATGTAATGTGCATAGAACAGTGCCTGGCACAAAGCAAAAACAAATGCCAGCTAGGATGATGATGATGTCATTATTATTACTGTTGTTATTATTATTACCTTCATTATCTCATGCCACCAAATGTGGAACTGGAGCTAAGCTGCTAATCATGTTTAGCCTAGTTTAGTCTAGTCTGGGCTTTCTCAGATTAAATAAAATCAGAAAAGACAAAATTTTACTACATAAAAACTGGAAAGAGTTCTATGTTAAAACAAGCAAAGACGTGCATAGCAAAATGGCAAATGGGGAAATAATAAATTGGGAAGTAGCTGGTAGCAAATATCACAGATAAAATTCTCTTTTCCTTTTTTATATAAAGAACCACTAGAATTAAATTAGTTAATTTCATTATCCTCATATTGAGTCAAAATAACAGCATGTGGTTTGGAGGCAAAAAAGGAAATCCAGGGAGATTCCTCATGCTAATGTGTCTTACAGGTTTGAGTCTCTCTATAACTTGGTCTAAGAGAAATACCAAAAAACTCATTAATAATGTTTCATTAATAAAATTATAATAGTGATATTGGCACCTGGATGAGAAATCCAGACTTTCCCCTTTCCTCCTCTGCTCTTTTTCCTTTGCGACTCCCTTTTTAGTTTATAAATTTTATTTTCTTCCTTCTTTTTGTCTTCAGTCCTTTCTTTTGCCTTCCATCCTAATTTTCTCCATCTTCTTGTTCCTCCTTCTTCTCCTATTTTTTGCCTTCTCTTTTTGATCTGCTATCCTTTCTGTTTTTCAAAACATTCCATTTTCTCTCTTCCTCTTTAATCTTTTTTTATTATTAATTGCTTATCTTCCCTCTTCTCTCCCCCAAAATCCACTTCTAATATATACATTGTTTTTATTTCTTGTCCCTAAAGCCTTTGGGATAATTTCTGAGGACACGGGTCCTGAGAGATGTCTCTACAATAGGATCATTCACAAAGGGAGCAGGAGCTGGAATCAGGAGAGGTAAGAAATTAGAAATATTAATATTTGGCATCACTGTGGGAAGTTTTGTGAGTGAAGTAGAGTTCCAGGTTGTTGGCTTATTGTAGGATGGTCATTATTCACTTAAGGCTCTAGCCCTATCTGTCCAATATGAGAGCCATTAGCCCTATGTGGCTACTGAGTGCTTGAACTGTGGCTAGTCTGAACTGTGCTGTAACACACACAGGATTTCTAAGACATCGTATGAAAGAAGAATTTAAAATACCTTAATAGTTTTTATATTGAATGCATGTAAATATTTAATGCAGTTTATACAGATCACATAAGTAAAATAAAGATTTTATGCAGATTAAAGAAAACAGCACGTTATTAAAATTGATTTTGCCTGTTGTTTTTGTTTTTTATGTTTTAATATACTAGATCA